TGCTATACGCAAAATTGAAGCTTGATACACAAGTCTTACAACAAAACTTCGTACGAGTTATGGAAAGGGAGAAAACCTAAACTCAACTATTTCCATACTTTTGGTATCAAATGCTTTATTCTTAATAATGGGTAAAACATATCTAAAGACTTTTGATGAGCGTGCAGATGAAGGAATATTTTTGGGATATTCATCTACCAGTAAAGTTTTCAGAGTATTGAATAAAAGATCAATGGTGGTAGAAGAATCAATTCATGTTACATTTGATGAAGTCCATAAGAAGGAAACACAAATCAACAAAAATGGAAGTATTCAAATTGAGAAATCAATTAATGATATTGACACTCCTATTCAAGATAATGTTGCACAGGGAATGGAGCAATTGGATATTGATTGCAATAGTGAAGGACACGTGGAAGGAAATAATGAACCACACGTGGAAATACTTAATTCTCAAGCAGAAGCACAAGTTGGAGAATAATCTGAGGAGAAAATTGAGTCTACCTCCAACTTACCTACTGAGCAAGGAAACTCTGAAAATTCATGCAATCTACAACCTGACTTGAGATGGCTCAAAGATCACCCTCCAGAGCTAGTAATTGGAGATCTACGAGAAGGAGTAAAAACAAGATCCTCAAATATAAATACTTTATTTTCTTGTTTTCTTTCTCAGGTGGAACCCACAAGTATTGAAGAAGCCCTAAATGATCCGGACTGGATTAATGCAATTCAAGAAGAGCTGGATCAATTCAAAAGAAATGATGTATGGGAATTAGTTCCAAGACCCGAAAATTACAATGTAATTGGAACAAAATGGGTTTTTCGGAACAAATCCAATGAAGAAGGAATTGTTGTTCGAAATAAAGCAAGATTAGTGGCAAAAAGGATATTCACAAGAAGAAGGAATAGACTTCGACGAAACATTTGCACTAGTTGCAAGACTCGAAGCTATCAGAATATTTCTAGCATATGCCGCATACAAGAATTTCACGGTCTACCAAATGGACGTGAAAAGTGCCTTTTTAAATGACTTACTTGAAGAAGAAGTCTACGTTGAACAATCACCCGGTTTCGAGGTAAAATGTGATATTAATAAGGTCTACAAATTAAAGAAGGCATTATATGGGTTGAAACAAGCACCTAGAGCTTGGTATGACACTTTATCAATGTTTTTGATCAGTTGTGGTTTCACAAAAGGCCTTGTTGATAAAACCTTATTTAGAATTCAAGAAAATGATCATATTTTATTGGTACAAATTTATGTTGATGACATTATTTTTGGAAGTACTAATAAAACTTTATGTGAGAAATTTTCCAAGCTCATGCAGAAGAGATAAGAAATGAGCATGATGGGAGAATTGAATTACTTTCTTGGACTACAAGTAAAGCAACTCAAAGATGGAATATTCATCAATCAGGCCAAATACACAAAAGACCTCATAAAGAAATTCGGTCAAGATGGAAAATCTTCAATCAAGATCCCGATGAGCACATCCTTAAGATTGGATAAAGATGATGAAGGCAAGGACATTGACAAGAAGAAATATCGAGGAATGATTGGATCATTACTATACCTCACTGCAAGTCGACCAGATAAATCCTACTCAGTGGGTGTATGTGCTAGGTTCCAATCAAAGCCAAAAGAAAGTCATTTTCTTGCTACCAAGAAAATCATAAGATACCTAAAAGGAACAATCAATGTGGGATTATGGTATCCCAAAGAAGGTAATTTTACACTAACTGGTTTTTCAGATGCAGATTTTGCAGGGTGTAAAATCGATCGAAAAAGTACCTCAGGAACATGCCAGTTCTTAGGGGGAAGATTGGTATCTTGGTTTAGCAAAAAGCAAAACTCTATAGCTACAAGCACAGCCGAAGCTGAATATATAGGTGATGGAAGTTGTTGCGCACAAATTCTTTGGATGAAACAACAACTGAGAGACTACGGCGTGAATTGCGAAAATGTTAGCATATTTTGTAACAATACAAGTGCTATAGCAATTACACAGAATCCCGTGCTACATTCAAGGACTAAGTGTGACACCCCGTAAATCCAAATTTTATTTAAGGATTAATTAAGTAATTAATCCTAGCTTAATTGATAGTTTATTCCTAAAATCCTGAAAATTCAATAGTCGGAGGACTAGTAATTGACTAGTCAATCTAAGTCAATGGGTTGTACCCTATGCTTCATGAATTGTTCCCTTGTCTCCTTACACTTTTTCATTTTAGTAAGGGTAAAGAAGACTTTTCACCTTATGATTGTATTCCAAGCTAACCTAGAGTCATCTCTCATTCTTTTCCCTAACACCCTAAAAAGAAAAGCTCATCATTCTCTCTAGAATTTAGCTAGCTTCTTCTTCAAGCCAAGTTTGGGCATTCCAAGATTCTTCAAGTTGGTCTCCAAGATTCAACCTTTCTTACTCTTGAGCATATAGGAGGGTAAGATGTTTGGTCCTTTAGTGTTTTTAGTACCTTTTAAGGTGTCTTTTTCTAAAGATAGAATCTTTGTTGTCTTTTGGTGTGTTTGTGAAGTTGAAGTTGAAGGAGAGCCTTGTTAGAAGCTTGTAAGGGTGTGTTAAGTGAAGTTGTAGGATACAAGAGGTAACCCATGCTTTACAAAATCTATTTTCTTACCTATATGATGATTTCTTGACTTCTACATGTGATTTATGCTATGAAATGTGAGATTTGATGCATTGTCCTGTGAGAATGCATATCTAGAGCTTGTTATTAGGGTTCTTATATGTCATTGCTTGGCTATTTCTTTGATTCAAGTCATGTTGTTGTATTTTGTGAGATTTTGGGTGTTTTGGACTTGAATTTGGACTTGGTGTAGAAAATCCCCGAAGGGATAATTTGTGGTACAGAGGTGTACCCGCGGGCAGTGGCCTACCCGCCGCCCCACCCGCGGGGTACGTGTGGCTTGTGGGAATGGTTCCCGCGGGCGGAACCACAGGTGGAGGTCCACCCGTGGCCCCACCCGCGGGGAACACCTCTGGATTGTTTTGGGGATTTGTTCTCTGTGATTCTTTTGACTCGGTAATTGATGTTTTGACTTCCCGATGTTCTTTTGTTGAGCTTTTTGAGCGTTTTCTTGATGTTTCGTATGTCTAGAACGTATGATAGGAATCCATGTAGGATTTGGTATCTTGAATCGTGCTAAGTGTTCAACCTTGTGATTCGTTAAACCATGATGAGTCTTGAATGTTCTTCGAAACTATGTTTGGTTTACCCGTTTGTTAAGCATGCTAGTTTGACATTGAAATACTAGCGTGTGTGGTTTGTCATGTCCTATTGTGGATGATGACTTGTGTTGATCATCGTGGTTGTCGGATTGTGATCCTTCCTTGTTGAGTATGGTTTCATATCTCTGTTGTGATCCATTGATTAATTCCTATGATGATGATGTGTGTTTTGCACGATTAATGGTATGTGACATTAGTCACCAAGGTACGGCAGTGGTCATCGTGGTGGCCATGATGTGATTATGGAGTTGTGATCTGGGCTTCAGACTCGTGTTTTGGGTGGCTTAGGCCGTGTATTGAACGGTACCCTCGTGTACTATGTGTTGATGGAAATTGTTGGTGGTTGTTGGTGGGGGAACGACGGTTCCCGGAGGCATAAGGTTGGACTTGGATGTACATGGGTCCTGGAGGTAATGGTTGGAACTAGTTACAAGGTTGGGGGTAGTCATAAGGTTGGAACCGGGCATAAGGATGGATTATGGAATTTGTGACATGTGTTGTCACGATGGCATGTGTTGCCAATGTGTGATTGTCTATCCCTTTTCTGTTGAGCATGTCTGGTGGTATTCTACTTGGTGATCAGTAGAATACACCTCGAGTTGTACTTGTGCTGTTGTGTATGTCATGTCTTGATGCTGCTTTGGGATGTTGGTTCCCTCGGTCCTCGTTGTGAGTGAAATAGAGTATTGCAGTTGACTTCTCTCTCTTTGGTTTTGAATTGATATATACTGTATTCCGTTTCGAAAATGATTTTGTATTATACTATCTACTTATGCTATTGAACGCGTATTGATGGGTTACCAGCAATATTCGCTGACCGGGCGTCGTCCTATTTCTTTATGTGCTTTACAGGTCCCGAGTAGATGGCGAGAGCGTTAGACATGGATAGTTTAGATCCCCTGAACACTTTAGTTTGTGTTTTGGCCTGTGTGCCACTGATGTTGAACATAATAGTTTGACGGTTTAATGTTTGCCTGAGCGTTCACGTTGGAGTGAACGTGGCATAACACTCCTTGGTTTTCTCCGTTTTATGATTAGACTTCCGCTGTGTTTATGTTTTTATGTTATGTTGGTTAGTTTCCCTTGCATAATTAAGCTTTAAATTGGCATGAAAATCGGGGGTGTTACACTAAGCATATTGATGTGAGACATCATTTTTATTCGGGATCACGTCAGAAAGAAGGAATTGACAATAGAATACATTCCAACGGAAAATCAAATAGCTGATATTCTCACAAAACCTCTGTGTGAATCGAGATTTTCCAAATTGAGACACGAAACTGGCATGATTGAATTGAGCTAAGTTCCTAAACTCTATTTAAATTAAGAGCTCAATTTTCATCTGTAAAACTTTATTTTATCTGACTTAGTGACTTATTTTCGTGCTTATGTGTCCTACATGCAAAAATGTGTCACTTCCTAGTATCTAAATCTACCTATCTTAAATGCACCTTGAAATAAATTGCCTAGTGTGCATGCCTCTTCAACCGTGTGTATATATATATATATATATATATATATATATATATATATATATATATATATATATATATATATATATATATATAATTGATAGATCTCTTCCATTTACAAAATCTTTACCATTAAGGTTGACAAGATAGTGTGATGATTGCTTATCAACATAAATGAGATCATCTTTTTATAGTAGTTGAACATACTTACTGCAAAAAAAGTTTCTCTCTCTCTCTCTCTCTCTCTATCGGTTATCGTTTTTTATTGGAATAAATTTAGCACTCTTTGTATTATTATTTCAGGAAAATTGGTATCAGTATATCCAATTTTGGCGCCACAATGCAGTCAAACTGGATGGTGAATATACAACCTAAACTAACTATCAGTTAGGTCAAAGGTTGAAATTCTTGGAATTTTCAAAAATGACCATCATTCTTTAATGGTCTAAAAAGAATAACTAGATAATATTTTTGTAAAAGACCCTTTTCCACCAACCAGCCAACAGTCACCATTCTCCACTCAAAATTAAACTCAACCATCGAAACCCTTCATTCGTTGCCATCATCTTCCATAGCCGAAAACTCTCAAAGCTTACTCTCATTCTTCATCAACAATATTATGGCAACCATTGGAGATTCAAGTTCACATCTGAAATAGGAACAACTTACACCAATCAATCTCAGCAAACTAGCCATTGGAATCAAAGCAGGAGGAAGTTTTGACCCCCACGGATTTCTCAAAACGACCAAGAACTCGGAATTGGCTCAGAAAATCATCCATACGATTCAAAACAGTGGACTTATGAGGTTATGTTCTTATCCATACTCTGGTTTCTATGATGAAGATGTAGCAGATTTTTATGTCAATGCCAAAGTTATTGGTTGGACTATTGAGTCCACCGTAAATGGAACTCTCATCACCATTGATGAACAAGAGTTACATTCAACTTTTGGACTACCCGTGTCTAGTCCAAAACAACCATTGTTGGATTTGGACATACATGCATATGACCAAGCCGAAGTCTGGGCAGAAATTCGAAATGAGAATGCATCCGTTGAGCCCAACTTTTCTGGTCATAAATCTGATTTAAAAACAGAATATGAAATGTTGGTCAAAATTACAAATGTGTTCTGTGCAAGTTAAACAGTATGGAGGATATATCACCTACGAGAATAGGTTATTTGCATGCTTTTATGTCTGGCGTTAGGGGAGATTGGAACAAGCTGATATTCAGCAGGATTGCTCACTTTGTGAAAGGTGCAAAAATTAGGAATGTGAAGTTTAACCGTGTTCTGGGTTTTGGTTTGCTCATTGGAGAAATAATCAAACAAAAAGGATTGATTATGAGAGCTAGAAAGCCTTTTGGAAATAACCGGATACTCTATAGAGATCATGAGATTTTAACCGAGTCCACTTCCAAAAGAAAAAGATAATCGAGAGGTATCCCAACCAGAAAAAGACCAGTGGCAGAAATCCTTGGTAGAAATCCCCAATCCACATCCCAACCTTACAACACTGACACCTCAAGTCACAACCCTACTTCAAGTCACAATCCTACCTTAAGCCATGATTCTATCTCAAGCCATGATCATAACCCAAGTCATAATCCTAATCCAAGCCAAATTCACACATCTAGCCTCAATCAAAACTCAAACCAAAACACTACCATAAATTTCTTGAACCCATCCTCTCGGATGGCACTACTAGAAAACATGCCAAATGAGATAATATGCCAAGTTGATGGATTAGACTCAACCTTGGTAAATGAATATCAAAGAGTTATAGATTGGAGACAATGGAGACTTGACTCGTATCAAGAATTGATGACACGAGGTCCAAGTATGGAAAATGAAGAAATGTTCTCATTGAATTAGATTGGCTGCCAAGAAATTGCCCAAGCAACAATGATATCAACCATAAATGGAGCATTCATAGCCAAGCTAAAAGCCAAGCTGGCCGAGACTATTCAAGTCAACATAATGCAAGAGAACATGCCAACTAGAAATGAATTTTTGGTTGATGATGATTTTGATCGAGCTATTGAGTTATCTAGACAAGTCACAAATTCAGAAGCTACGGATGACACACATGCTCAACTTTTTGATCATAACAGTGTGAGTCCAATTTTTATGGACATTGATCTTTATGATGTTAGTGTGTTGAATCAGACTAAAATTAGCCATGAAACCAAGCCATGCAAGCCAGCCATCACATGGAGGAAACACAGTCGCAACATCCAGAAAGTGTTCAAGGTGATACACTTGTGTTGGAAGAGCACACACCGGAAAGAGCAAGAAATGTGCTAGAAAATCAAGCACAATCTCACTTGCTTGGAGATAATTCTGCTCAAGAAGGAGCAAGACCCCTTTCCGCAAACCAAGAAGAGCACAATCTTGATGGCACTACTTCAAATGATCACTTGAAAAATCTGGAAAACATTGTGCTAGGTTTAGTAGACAGAATGGAGAGTATGATCCAAGGAATTTATACTCATGTGGATCATATTGTCAACACGCAAACAGGAAAAATCGAAGGTTCATTTGATGAAAATAGAAAGAGTCAACAACACTTGATTGATACACACCAATCACTGGAGAGACAAGTTGGCGGTTTGAATGCCAATATAAAAGGATTACTCAATGAGTTTTTCATACAACTGTTTCAATCCCTCAAAAATGATAGGAAAGCCAGTGAAGCAATTTTTGTGAATCAAAGCAAAGGAATTCTCAATGTGGTGCATCAACAAGAAAAGCAAATCAAGGATGTTCACACCGACATTGATTCCATCAACACAAAAGTTGGATGTCTTCGAGGTTCCTATGAAACCATCTCAGAATCTGTCTCTTCCCTTCGTGAATATGTGCATGAACTTATTGATTACGCCAAAAGGGGGAAGAATGGTTTAGTCATTTGGAAGGCATGATGGAGGCCATCATGACTGCCATGGCTAACAAAAATGGTGGTGGGAGCAGTTCAAGAGGAGGCAGATCTGGCAGAATCAACACCACAACCAGAAAAGGAGGAATGGAATATTGGTTTGGTGGTGATGCAAGCAGTCCAGGAGAATCAAGCAGTGCCAATACCACTAACAGATCATTTCATGACATTGTTTGTGCAGGTGGAAATCATGAGCAAATCAACTGGTACAACAAAGTAGCTCTTTATCTGGATCCACACCAAGAGATAGCAGAGTTGAAATGCCAAAAATGGTAAATCTAAATGATCTACCAAAAGGAATGAAGAAGAGTGGTCCAAGCGATCAAAACATGTGGATTTCAAATGAGAATTTCAGAAGAATCAAGAGCTATGCAAGGTCCTTAATGCTAATGGTGCTTCTAGATTACATCAAAGTAAATGATGCATAACTACAAGGAGATAGAAGTCTAGAAGAATGCATAGTATGGTGTGAGAAGAGTATACTGTCCGGAGACAACATCATTGAAGCCTTCAATTATTACGTGATTGGGCAGGTATGCAAAGACTATGCAATTAGCAACAATTTCATTGATATTAAAAATCATATCAATTGCATGTTAGAAGAAAGGAGAAACAAAATAATCAAGTGATTTGTATAATTGGTGAAAAATGTTTTGATATGGCTTACAAACTCTAAGTATGGCCATGAATATTTTGCTATGATATTTTGCTCAAATTATCTTATTATGATGCTTATAGTATTTTGTCTATTGTTATTTTAATTTGTCTTGAAAGGTAATTTTTAGCTTAGCTTGTATCAAATCGCATATTTGGAAAAATTGCAAAAATCATTAATGTTAAAGTCCAAAATTGTGAATAGGAAATTTTTGCTAAAAATACCTTTCCTAGAGTCAAAAGCAATTGTTAAACTCATCATGGCTATGTCAAATTTAATAAAATCTTTTGAAAAATCAATTGTTTTAAAAGACAAGCCAAATGACTGAGTATAGGTTTTGGCGTCATCAAAAAGGGGGAAAATTGATAGGAATATTTTTGTAATAAGGTTTTGATGAGCCAAATGTATTAGATCCCCTTAGAAGCTTAGAACTTTAGGTCAAGCATCACTAATCAGAAAGTCAAAGCAAATGGAAAGATTACTACCTGAAGAACAAAATTAATTTGAAGAATTAATTTTGGTCCTACAAGTATTCATCCGGAAAAGGAGTACAGTATTAAACAATGGCGTTACAATAGATAACCAGATGAGCCTAATGGTGAAATGGTAGAAGTCTTTACTCATAACGATCATACCTGAGATCAATTCCCCCCCCCCCCCCCCCCCCCCCTCATGACTTATTTCTTACAAGTCAGAATTCGAAGGAGCACAATCTAGCTATAAGCAAGAGACGTTGGAATTTTGAAGAAGACCTATAAAAAGCCATGAAGACTCAATACATAGAAGCGGATGAATAAGTGCAAAAAGAGTATAGTTGTGTGCAAAACACTTGGCGTTGAGTATATCTGTGTGCGAAATACTCGGAGTTGGGTGTAGCTGTGTGCAAGACATCCGAAGAAGTGAGAGTATAGTTGTGTGCAAAACACTTGGCGTTGAGTATATCTGTGTGCGAAATACTCGGAGTTGGGTGTAGCTGTGTGCAAGACATCCGAAGAAGTGCTTGTGTAGCGCTTATTCACTATTGTAAATGTGTGTAGAAAATAGTGAATTACTCCTAGAAGAGTTGGGTGTAGCTGTGTGCAAGACATTCGAAGAAGTGCTTGTGTAGCGCTTATTCACTATTGTAACTGTGTGTAGAAAATAGTGAATTACTCCTAGAAGTGAATGGAGTAAAGTGGACTAGGAAGATTACGCCACTTCCGAACCACTATAAACTGCCTCTCTCATTTACATACCGCACTTAATTAATTTGCTTATTTATTTTAGTATTTGATTAACCCGTTTACTATTCACTGTTAATCTTAATCTTTCGGGTTTAATGTGTTTTTACGTATGCATGTAACTCAAACTTTTCATGCTTAACATTTGAATTATTCTAAGCAAGTTTGACGTGTTGCATGTGACATTCATCATACGATTGACTTTGCACGAAGTCTTATTTATAATCTTGAATAATATTGTTAAATATTGAGTGAACCATCTCCTTTAAATATTCAAGATATTCTTGTCATCCTTACACATCATCTGAGCTTATCTAACATGTACATGTGATTCAATTTATTATTTGGGCATAACTCTTTACACATATTTATTCCGCTGTGCACTCCAAGTTAAACACTTCTCTATTTACTTGTTATTTAGAGTTGAAATTACCAAAGAGTTATTAATTGTGAAAAAGTTTAAAAAGTCTATTCACCCCCG